TCCTGCTGGGAAGGAGCAAGGACTGACACTCCAGGAGCAAAAAGGAGCACATGGAAGAAAGAGGAGAAAGCAAAGAGGAGGAAGACAGCAAGGTCAGCTGTAAAGGAGGAACAGGAAGAAACTGACTCTTGTGTTCCCAAGAGCAGCTTAGTGAGAAATAGCAAACAAGCTCATTAGGAGCACAGTGAAAACCTCCTCAGCTCAATTCTGCCTTCTCCTCTGCCTGCTGCTTTTCCTGCTCAGTTTGTGGGAAGAGGTGGAAACCCAGGATTGAGGTGGTATGGTGGGAAAGGCCTTGGCTTACCGAAAGCTTGTACACAGCTGGGCTTTGGTAGATAACGTTGAAGACAACATTGTAAAAAGTGAAAGATGGCTTATCATCTACTGTCCATCGGAAGGTCACATCTGACCCAGCTTCCATCACAGGGACGTAGCTCTGAAAGGCATGAGGACATTTTATACTAGTGCAAGGGAAAAGCATGCACAGCACTTCCCTGGAGACCTCCAGCTGAACTGGAGAGGGAGCAGAGCCAGACTGGGGGGCACCACACACCTGTAAGCCTCTACCCTCAGAGCATGACACAGAGCTGCACGATCCTGCATGAGAAATGCCAACCCTGACTCCATAAACCAAGAGGGGAGCTGGGAGCAGCACCCACACTGCCTGCTCCCACCCCCCAGTGCTCTGCTCTTCTGATCAAGTCTCTTTCTTGTTGGCTAAAAAACCTCCTGATATCTTTGTAGCAACAGCTTGAGTTCCCTGTAAGGGGAGTCTCTGATCCTCGTCCACTGATGGTGCCTGACCCAGAGGCTGAAATGGTTGACCTGCCCAGGACAGGGTGGGCTCTCTCCTCGCTCTCACAGTGTCTCCTGAGCAGACTGTGGTAGCCAGGAAGGGTGAGACCAACAGGCACAGGGTTCTGCCCTAAGCAGCCAGAGACTGAGCAGAGCATTTCACAGGGGCAGCATCCTGAGGGGGCAGCTACTGAACAGCTTCCCAGGGTTTGGCTGCAGCTCTGAGGCCCAGCGATTGGAGGAAAAAAAAACACCAAAAAAGCTGCAAACACCAAAGTAACCTTGATGGATGGATGAAACATTTTTATAGCTTCAGCCAGCTGGTGAGAGGGTTTAGTCGAGTAAATCTAAACGCTGAAAGAAGTAACTACCTTGACAAGCCAAAAGCTAAGTACTGGCCCTTCCTAATGCCTGTGCTTCTCTGAGGAGGTGCTGCCTTACCTCTGAGGGGATTCAAGTGGAGTCCAGCTGAGCTGCCTTCTGCTGGAGAGCACCAGTGCCTTCTGCCCAAGCCCGTGCCCACAGCAGGCGGAGCAGCAAGCAGAGCTACCCCCAGGGCAGCCCAGCCCTCCTCCCCAGCCAGACCCACAGCAGGAAAGGCTAAAACTGCTACCAATGGATGAGAGCAGCAGCCATGGATCACTCACCACG